GGTTAGAGTAGAGAGCTCCAGTGGGGGGAATGGAACGATAAATGGAATGGGATGTACTGTGTTAAACTCTCTGTTTATTCTGATAACCACTGTTCTCTACTGATTAGGTTGGTCTGTGTGTGTGTGTGTGTGTGTGTGTGTGCGTCAGTCTCGCTCTCTATCTCCGTGTGTGTCTTTGGGCTGTTTGTAGGTCTGTCTGTTTGCGTCTCTGTCCATCTGTCTGCGAGTGTCTATCTGTGTCTGTCTGTGGGTGTGTGTGTGTCTGTCTGCGTGTGTGTGTCTGCCTGTGGATTTGGCTGTGTATAATGACGAGGGGATTTTTAATTGCTGAGCCGCTAATTAGAGAAAACCAATTTAAGATCAACGGCACAAAGAGAGAGGTGGTTTCACGCACAGTCACACAGTGAGACAGTCACACACGCACACTCACACAGTCAGACACACAGACGCCTGTCTGACGCTGCACCTGACAGTGTCCTCACGTTTCCCAAAGCCTCACACGCAATCCCTGCCCTGTGAAACCCCAGCAGCCATTTTGCGCACAGCGACGTTCCCACAAACAGCCGTGAAGTGGGCGAGTGGCTGTATCTGGGGATTGTCGGCCCGGACACCGGGAGAGAGAGAGGGAGAGAGGGAGAGACACTCCCTTCTCGTTTCCCGACGGCGTTGCGGGATCTTTTAACGTCCGCCTGAACAGAGCACAGACGGGGAGTGAGGTTTAACGTCTACATCTGAAGGACGGCGTCTCCGAGAATGGTCTCTCTCTCTCTCTCTCCCCCCGGCGCTGCGCTCCGGATCTCTCCCCCCGCGCGAAGGCCGCTGTATAAATGCAAGTTGTTGTTGTTGTTGTTGTGCTGGAGCATCAGCCTGGACTGTGAGCTCAGAGAGACCCCTCCTGCGGAGACAAGGTGTGGGATGGGGTGGGGGGGGAGTGGAGGTTGCATGAGGATTAGGGGCCATTTGGGGAGGGGGAGGGGGGGGGGGGGATGCGAGAGGAAGAGCGTGAGGACATGAGCCAGACATGAGGTGGTACAGACTGAGGAAGGAGAAATAAGAGCACAGCCCCCGTCTGCCCGGTCGGCGTATACGCTCCATCACACGCAGACACACACACACACACACACCGCGCACAGTCCCCGATGGAGACAGAGAATGAACGGCTCAGATTTAACCTTGCATTAAATCCTCTCCCCCGGCTCCAGCCCACTCCCCTCCCCCTCTCCCCCACCCCGACGGCCGACCGGCCGACCGGCCGACCTCCGCAGAGATTTTGCTGACTCACCCGGGCTGGCCTCGGTCTCCTTCGGCCGCTCAGAGCATCGCTTGGCTCCCGCCTGCCTCGCCGCGTCTCCCGGCATCGCTGGGCACGAGCGCTGGTCCTAACGAGGCTGCCTCAGACGCTCAGCAGCTAACGGGCATTGCGTCTCCGGCCGCCGTCTCCCCCAGACTGAGGGAGGGGAGTGTGTGTGCGAGCGGGTGTGTGTGCGCGCGTGTTTGTGCGCGTGTGTGTGTGTGTGTGTGTGTGTGCAGTCGCCTCTCCGCTCGGTCTGTGACGCTGCAGTCTCGCTGTTCTTAGCTGTGTCATTCTACATGATGTCAGCAGGATTGGGAAAGGGGAGGAAAGATGTGGGTGTGAACCGGCCACTGCGGAGAGGCAGAGAGAGAGAGAGACAAAGAGAGAGGAAGAGATGGCGCGAGAGAGAGAGAGAGAGAGAGAGGGAGTGGGAGACAAAGAGAGAGAGAGCGAGAGATGGTGAGAGAGAGAGAGTGGGAGACAAAGAGAGAGAGGGAGAGATGGCGAGAGAGAGAGGGGGGAGATAAAGAGAGAGAGCAATAGAGAGAGAGAGAGAGCAAGAGATGGGGGAGAGGGAGGGGGAGAGACAAAGTGGGAGGAAGACGGCAAGAGAGAGGGACACAAAGCGAAAGAGAGGGAGAAATAGAGAACACAGAAACAAAAGAAAAGTGGACACAGAAGCACTACAGTTAATGGAGACGGAGAGGGAGATGGAGAGAGAGGAGAGAGAGAGATGGAGAGAGAGAGAGAGATGGAGAGAGAAGAGAAATGGAGAGAGAGAGAGAGGAGAGATAGAGACAGAGAGACAGATGGCCAAAGCTCAGGTTCCAATCAATATATTGTCAGACCGTGGCACCTGTGCGTGTGTCTCTCTCTCTCTCTCTCTCCTCCTTTTATAAGCAGCATTTTTTTGCGCGGTTCCTCGTGAGCCACAGGAAATGGCCGCGTCTGCAAGTCTCTGCTCATCATGAAATATTCAGAGCTGCGAACACAGCCCGACTCCCACGGCAATCAGCCTCCCAGCTCAGCCCCAGCGCAGGACGCAGACAGGGAGCAGCTTCTTGTTTGTAGCAGTAACAACAACAACAATTGCCTGCACTTGACACGGCGACTTATCACGTCGTCGAGATGTTTCATGGCGCTTCACTGAATAAACTGTGCGACTGTATTTTTTGTGGGTGAAGCGCGGGAGCGAGTTGCGTGCGGCAGTGTCCCACAAACAGTCGTGGATTGAGTGACCATTTTTGTTTTTAAAAAAAAAAGGGATTATTAAACCCTGCGAAGCGATCCGACAATCCACTCACAGCCGGGTTCCTACTCGCTGCTGGGAAACAGAGGCGCGTGGAGCAAGGAGACTCGCCCAAGGTTTGGCCCCCTGCCCGGGGCGAGCGTGCGAGGCGGGCGCACTAACCACGAAGCTGAGGGACTCCCGTCTACGGTTATGGGAAAGGTGAAATTGGCGGTGAGAGAGAACGAGGGAGAGCGAGAGAACGAGCAGGAGATAGGGAGAGCGGAAGAGCGAGGCAGTAGCGCGAAGGAGAGCGAGCGACGGAGAGTGAGGGAGAGCGCGAGGAGAAGAGAAAGGGGTTGAGAGTGAGTGGAGAGCGATGTGAGAGACCCAGAAAGAGCGGACGCGAAGAGGTTGAGAGAGAGAGAGAGAGAGAGAGAGAGCGAGAGAGGGAGTTGATTGAATCAGCACTGAGGTGGAAGCGGCTGCCAGGAGGCAGGTGGGGGAAGGGAAGGGCGAGCGAGCGAGTGAGTGAGGTTATATAATAGGCAGTGAGGAGCAGCGAGAGACTCAGAGCGAGGGGCAGACATCAGAGACGTCAGTGATAACAACCGCTCCATCAGACCTCACCCCACAACATCAGCCAAAAAATGGGAGTTATTCCCCCCCAACCCCACCCCCACCCCCACACACATCAGCAGATCTGTCTGGACCACATCAAATCTTACCTACCGCTCCGCCCTCACCTGCACTAAATCGTCGGCTAAAAGCCAAGGACAACCCCAGACGCCCCTTCTCCATCACCAACCGGCTCCTCCGCCCACCCTCTCACGCCTCACCCATCCTCTCCTCCCAACGCCAACTGCGAGGTGCTGGACTTGCTCAGAAACCAAAATCGAAGGGTTCCTGCCTCTGTCCTTCTGACTACTACCCCCTCCCCATTTCCCCCTCTCACCCGCCCCCTACCCATCCCTCACTCCACACCTTCAAACCTGTTTCCCCCTCCTCTCTCACCACCGTTAGAACACACATGAAACCCACCACCTGCTCCGTTGACCCCATCCCTACCCCTTTCCTTGCCTGCCAGCTCCACCTCCTTGCCACCCCTGCTCACAGACACCATAAACCTCTCCCTGTCCACTGGCACCATTCCAACCCCCTTTAAAAACAGTCACCATCACCCCACGCTCAAAAAACCCTTCCTGGACCAATCCCTGTTCTTAAACTACCACCCCATCTCCAACCTCTCCTGACTCCCCATGGTCCTTCAACGAGTCGTTGCTTCCCAGTTGCGCTCTTTCCTCTCCCGCCTCTCCCTATATGAACCCCTCCAATCGGGTTTCCGTGCCGCCCACAGCACAGACACAGCTCTGGTCAAAGTGACAAATGTTATTCTGTCCATCTGCAATCAGGGCTCCCTCTGCCTCATCCTCCTTGACCTCTCTGCTGCCTTTGATACCATTGACCACTCTATCCTCATCCACCGTCTCTCCTCTCATCGCAACTTCCATGACGCTGCCCTTCACTGGTTCAGATGGTACCTCTCACAGCCCCTGCACTTCATCTCCTCAAACGGCTCCTCCTCCAGCCCCCCCACCGTCTCGTGCGGCGTTCCTCAGGGCTCTGTCCTTGGTCCCTCCTCTTCAATATCTATATGCTCCTCTTGGTGACATCATCCACAGACATGGGGTCAACTTCCACATGTATGACACCCAACTCTCCCTCTCTGCCTCCGCCCTCGACTCCAGGACCCACTGCTGTCCTGACAGAATGTCTGTCAGACGTCAAGTCCTGGATGAGAGCGAACTTTCTTCAGTTGAACGTCAACAAGACCGAGGCTCCTGATTGACTCCCGTCAGCGCCTCCTCACCTCAGGCCTGACAGCATCACCATCCATGGGGCTCACTCCCCCTCACTGAGCCAGTCCCGAACCTTGGGGTCTTGTTTGACCCTCAACTATCCTTTCTACCCCACATCTGTGCCATGACCTGCTCTGCCTTCCCCCACCTCCGCAACATCCCCCGGCTCCGCCACTGTCTGACCCCTCAGTTCGCTGAAAGCCTAATTAATTTGTTCACCACATCTCAGCTGGACCACACCAACTTCCTGCTTGTTGGCCTCCCAACTCTTCCCTCCATAAGATGCAGATCATCCAGAAATCTGCAGCTTGTGTCCTCTCCCGCGCCAGGCTCCGTGACCCTATCAGCCTCCCTCACCCGGGTCCATTGGCTTTGGCGGCCTGAGGGGTGATGCAGTAACAGAGTCAGGCATTCACGCGTTCAGAACATCTATTTTAAGAAGGGATGAATAGGGCACATATGGCGAGTGAGATTTAACGTCGCTGACGAGATGCACCCCCACTCCCAGAGCTGTCCTGGAGCATCAGCCTGACCTGTGCCAGTCCTGAGATAGGCCGGGAACCCACAGTGTGTGGGAGCGAGAGCGACACTGTCAGTGAGAGGTCGCTGTTGGGAGTTTAATTTAAGCGATTGTTTAATTTAAAACCACATCCTGTACAGTGCAATCCCCCCCCCACTCCTGCTCAGGGGCTCCCCGGGAGGGAATAGCCCCATCGGCGTCCAGCTCCGAGCCCCAGCTCCGCCACCCCCCACCCACCCTGCGTTCCCAGTCCTGTCATTTAGCCAACTCCTCCGAGATGGTTTTGCCCATCTTGTCCTTCAGATAAGCCACTCGCTGCCAACCCGACTTCAGGTCCAACCACTCGTAGTATGGCACCTGTTGGGGAGACACATCGGGCGTTGGTTCCCACTGACACAGCAAAGCCTGGCCCCAACCCCCAGCCCCCAACCCCCACCACACCCCCAGCCCCCAACCCCCAACCCCCACCACACCCCCAACCCCCACCACAGCCCCAACCCCCACCACAGCCCCAACCCCACCAGCCCCAACCCCAGCCCCCCAACCCTCAGCCCTAACCCCAACCTGCAGCCAAAGCTCCAAACCCCTAGACCCAACCCCAACCCTAAACAACAAGATTACATTTGTATAGAGCCTTTCACGCCTTTCATAACATAACATGTAGGAACAGGAGTAGTCCATTCGGCCCTTCGAGCCTGCCCCGCCATTCAATCATGGCTGATCTTCTGATCCAACTCCAGCTAATAACCTGACGCTGCCTTATCCCCATATCCCTTAATCCCTTTTGCAATAAGAAATCTATCTATCTCAGTCTTGAATATGTTCAAGGACTTGAGCGTCAACAGCCCTTTGGGGTAGTGAGTTCCATACATTCACCGCCCTTTGAATGAAGAAGTTCTTCCTCAACTCAGTGAGAAAGGGTTGGCCTCTGATTTTAAGGTTGTGACCCCTGGTTTTAGTTTCTCCAACCGGGGAAACAATCTCCCACTATCTACTCTATCATTGCCCTTTGATGATCTTATAGGTTTCTATAAGATCCCCTCTAATTCTTCTATATTCTAGAGGATATAGGCCCAAATTGGTCAGCCTATCCTCGTAACTCAACCCCTTCATCCCTGGTACTAACCTAGTAAATCTACACTGCACCCCCTCCAAGGCAAGTACATCCTTCCTTAAATGAGGAGTCCAAAACTCCTTTTCCTACAGCATTTCAGACCCGAGCTGGGGTTGGGAGGGGGGGAAGGGAGGGGAGGGGAAGGGGTTGTCCAATGGCATGGTCGAAGAGGAGGGTCTTGAGGTGGGACTTGAAGGAGGCTAAGGAGGAGGCGAGGCAGAGTGACTGGGGAATGAAATTCCAGAGGTTGGGGGCAGAGTGACAGAAGGCTCTCCCGCCAATAGTGGGGCGGGTGGGTTGGGGGACGTGGAGCAGCCAGAGCCGGGTGAGCGGACGGGTTGGTAGGGGGTTAGGAGGTCGAAAAGGTAGGGTGGGGCGAGGGCATGGAGGGTTTTGTACGTGAGAACACTTGGTGAGTTGTAGTGTACAATCATGGAGGTTGATGTTGCCAGAGGTGCTGAGGCGCTGGCGTGAGCCAATCAGGAGGGCCTCAGTCTTGTTCACATTCACTGTAGGAAGTTCGCCCTCATCCAGGACTTGATGTCCCACAGGCAGTCTGTCAGGACAGCAGTGGTCCTGGAGTTGAGGGTGGAGGCAGAAAGATAGAGTTGGGTGTCATCCGCATACATGTGGAAGTTGACCCCATGTCTGTGGATAATGTCACCAAGGGGGAGCCTGTAGATATTAAGGAGGAGAGGGCCAAGGACAGAGCCCTGGGAGACGCCAGACGTGACAGTGCGGGGCTGGAGGAGAAACCGTTAGAGGGAACAAAGTGAAGACGATGAGAGAGATAGGAATCGAACCAGGCAAGGGCAGGTCCACGAAGATTGAGTAAAGCGGAGAAGTGGTGTATGAGGATGGAGTGGTCGACAGTGTCAAAGGCGGCAGAGAGGTCGAGGAGGTTCAAAGAGTGAATGGCGAGAGAGAAAGGCGTGGAGCTGGGATGCGACGACTCGTTCCAGGACCTTGGAGAGCAATGGGAGGTTAGAGATGGGGCAGTAGCTGGAGAGGAGGGATGGATCCGGGGAAAGTTTTTTCAGGATGGGGGTCATGACGGCTGTTTTCAGGGGGGTGGGAACTGAACCGGTGGACAGGGAGAGGTTGATGACATCGGACATGAGGGGGCAGAAGGTGGAGCTGGGAGACGAGGAGAGAGTGG